TTTTTATTTTTAACAAAATGAGATTTAAGACAAATTATAAATGAAAAGGTGTCCTTTTATTATTTCTCCAACAAAATGCGGCACATTTCTTTGTGAAATTGAAATATGTCAAATAATAAAACTAGCTTGAAATTAAAGCATATCCCAAATCAAATAATACAAATAAAATAAATCTCTTCATATAAACAAACTAATGCTTTGGCTGTGCTTTTTCCATTTGAAATCAGAGGCAACCACTGCATTTGAATCATGACCCAAACAAAGATGCTAAATACATGCTATTTAGATTGCAAGTAGATTGTATAATTTCGAAATTTGAAGCAAAAACTGAATGGTTTGATTTTAGCTTTGTGACTGAGACGCAGATGTCACTCTCTGACAGCAGGTGGCGCTTATGGAACAGCAGGTGCTTATAGGCTGCTGCCCCTTTAAGACCGAATGCACGGATCCAATATAATGATGCGCTTGAGATTTCTTTCTCCACTGTTTACGTTCACTTAAGATATAACCGACGGTGTTTATGAATACTTGCCGAGATAATTTTGTGTGTATGTGTTCATTCAGATGCAAGCATACGAGAAAGAGGAATCGACTCGGTGTACGCGCACTGTCTGCAACGCGGCTCTTAAACGTACAGTAACATTTAGGGCAATGAAATCATGGAATCTTTTACCATTGTCATTAATTAGGATAACACGGAAAATGTATTTTAAAAGGCAGGTAAAGGCACACCTTGGAATTCTGTACTTCTAGGAGGTTGAGGTATAGGAATTAGTTGAATAAGTAATATGTTTTTATATAGTAGGTGTTATAGATATTAAAAGGGTAGAAGAAATGTTTATAGAGATGCTTTGGAATGTGGAGAATGTATTTAACAGCCTCCTTACTGTTTTTCCCTGACACATTCATAATTAATACTTCTGCCGGTGCGCTGTGGCAAGCTTTATGCATGTACTGGAGCGCTTATTAGGCTTTGTAGGCAATTAAAGGCTCATTATAATGATTTAAATGGTTTATTAATAAATGTACGATTAGTCGACTAATGCTTCAAATGAACGACTACTAGTCGACCAGAAAAATCCTTAGTCGAGGGCAGCACTATAAAATATCTTATGCTCCTACAACATAATAAATCTACAAATATTTTAGTAACATATTTCTATGAATATCAGGGAAACCTATATGTGTTTTTGATAAAGAAATTAAAAAAGAAATTAATTAATTATATACATATATAAATATATATATGTGTGTGTGTATGTATAAACTTTCTAGTGATCAGAGGATCCTGGAAATTTTTTTCACAAAAATATTGTGCAGCACAACTGTTTTCAACATTGATAATAATCAGAAATGTTTCTTGAGCAGCAAATCAGCATATTATACTGATTTCTGAAGATCATGTGACACTGAAGACTGGAGGAATGATGCTGAAAATACAGCTGCACATCACAGAAATACATTACAGTTTAACAGATTCACTTAAAAACCTGATATTTTAAAATAATATAATATTTCACAATTTTGCTGTTTTTACTGTATTTTTGATCAAATAAATGCAGGCTTAGTGAGCAGAAGAGACTTTCAAAAACAGTAAAACATTAACCAAATTTCTAAACGGTAGTGTATATATACACAGTTGTGCTCATAAATGTACATGCCCCTTGCAGAAAATGTAAATGTTAATAATTTTAACTAAATAAGAGGGATATACTGTATAACTGTATATTAAAATGTAACCCTGTGATATTATTGCTGGTATTTTTATTTTTTTAAACAGGACGGCTTACCTTTTTCGGATCCATGTTGAATTTCTTCCTGCCCATGGCCACATGCCGACTCTTCTGTAATGTTTTACTACAAACAAAAAAAACAGAGAGGAGGTCACTACTGTTTTCACGTTTGATTAAAAACCTGATATTTTAAAATAATATAATATTTCACAATTTTGCTGTTTTTACTGTATTTTTGATCAAATAAATGCAGACTTAGTGAGCAGAAGAGACTTTCAAAAACAGTAAAACATTAACCAAATTTCTAAACGGTAGTGTATATATACACAGTTGTGCTCATAAATGTACATGCCCCTTGCAGAAAATGTAAATGTTAATAATTTTAACTAAATAAGAGGGATATACTGTATAACTGTATATTAAAATGTAACCCTGTGATATTATTGCTGGTATTTTTATTTTTTTAAACAGGACGGCTTACCTTTTTCGGATCCATGTTGAATTTCTTCCTGCCCATGGCCACATGCCGACTCTTCTGTAATGTTTTACTACAAACAAAAAAAACAGAGAGGAGGTCACTACTGTTTTCACGTTTGAGGGGTGAAGTACACGGGACTCACTTTGAGTGTCCTACAAACCTACAGCATGTAGAGTTCAAGTTCATGTCAACGACTGCACTGTACACACAGCAACTGAGAGATAACGTCTGTGTGCTTTTATGTGAGTGTTATCTATCAGAGAAGGCAAATTGGAGAACGAAATAAAGCAAACACTGGAGCAACAACCAGAAGCACAAACCGGTTCCCATCAATAAAACGGGTAAATGTGAGACTAACCTGCCCTCTGTGCTGCTCTCCAGCCCCTCCACCTCTATAATGGCTTCTCTCAGCTCCTCTTTCAGTCGCTGGATCTCCAGAAGCAGCGCTCCTTTCCTGCGCCGGATCTCCTCCAGCTCGGAGCGCTCCTCTGGGCTCAGGTCCGCTGGGACTGTGGGCGAAATGAGGACACAGGGTCTGCATAGGCTTTTCACTTCCGTTCCTATTCACTAAACATCCAGGCCTCTTTCACACAAATCCACAGTTTTCCACATAAACGGTCACTCGTTTTCCTGCTGGCCTGTGTCTAATATATCATTCACTTTATGATGTGAGATGGCAATGCAAACATGCACAGGAGCTGTTTACATACTGGAGATGTTTGCATTCAGGTTATCTGTGGACTAACGGACGACTCTTACGACACCAGCTGGTGTTTGCAGGGTTTAAAGAGAGCAAGCCAGGACAGAACAGAGCCAAACAGGCAGAGACACATACTCTGACACTCCTCGCAAAACACATTTTCACAATCTTCAGCTCAAATCCTCAAGCCAATCACTTAAAAAAAATATATATATATTTTTTTTAAATGACACTATCAGCTTCTGCTTTCTGAACAGAGTCGGTGATATAAAGTACAATGGTGTGTAAGGTCAGAGATCGCTAATGAAAATGCTTCTACTTTGCATTTTTCTACTTCATACAATTTGTTTCCATTGCACTTCAAAATATCAGAATGACAATTTTGTTACATTTGGATGACAGAACCAAAAGTACCGACCCACATCAATCCCTTTCCTCCAAACTCCACCAAGTATTTTAATTTAAAAAGGTACAGTAGTAGTAGGGCCGCACAATTAATCAAATTTCTAATCGCAATTACAACTACGGATGCCACAATTACATAATCATTCAAAGCGGCAATTAATCGTTCAAAGCCCACGTATGTTATTCTGCATGCTTTTCTTTCTACATGTTATCTTAAGGGTTTTCCCATTGTTTTAATTTTAGTATAACATAATAATACCATGCATATTTTTACCTTTTTATTTAAAGAGAAACTAATCCGATGTATAGTTGACATTTGAGGCTTAATACTATAGAAAAGCACTAAAAGTTTTTCAGTTTTGTTTATTTTCATATAAAAATATGGCATGCAGTTGCTTCAAACAAAGGTGTAAACATCATTCATTCAATCGTAAATTAATAATCGCAATTACAATTTCAAAGGTATAATCGACAATTATGATTTTTGTCATAATCGTGCAGCCCTAAGTAGTAGTATATTTTTATTTAATGCCATGTCAGCATCTTTGGCTATTTTCATGGCAAAATAGAAGAACAATAACAATACAATAAAAACCAGCAAACAAACAAACACAAGATATATTACACAGGATTTTTTTACATTAACATATGATAAAAATTCTAAAACTTTTTCTAGCAAAATTATACTAAACTCTTTACGTGAGTTCACTTCATAAAAGAGTTTTCTACATACATTAAAAGCTGGACAGTCCAATAAAATATGTTTACAGAAAGGGGAATCTTGCAGAACATGCACTGAGTACGGTCTTCACCTTTCAGCAAAACCTATGTGACATCTGCTAAATACCACTGTATCGAATCTAGTTTTAACAGAGATTTCCGGATGCATTTTATGTGATTTATTATTTGTATAAAAAGGTACAAAATAAGCCATATTTTATTCTAAAACAGCAGTTGCAAAATGTTTAAAGGCAATGATTTAAAGAAAAAAATGTGCCAATTCAAATGACGTCAGTTTTGTCATTTGAACCTATTTTTGTTTCATCTGCAAATCCTAATTTTGCACAAATACCGAACATATATTTTTTCTTTTAGTTTAAAATAACAGTAAAAATAACCATCCAAAAATCCCTTATTCCAAACTCCCTTACCCCACTTCAAGTGTTTTCATTTCAAAAGATTCAAAATAAAAAACATTTTATTCTAAAACAGCAGTAAACAATTATGAAAATAGGTTAACCATTACAAAACAAAATCTGCCAATTCAGATGGTAGATCTTTTGTTTCATCTGCAAATTCTAAATTTGTACATATATACTTTAAAAATCTTATTTTTTGAAGAAGAAGAATAAAGTTAAAGTTAATAAATAATACTAATAATATGAGAATGTCTGGGAGCTGTATGAACAAAACCTGATGATCATGTTCACCAGCATCATCTGAGACGATCCAAAGAGCATCTTGAGCTTCAAAAGAAGAACATCTCAGAAACAGAAACTCACAGATCAATTGCACTTATGTACTTCCATCCGATTATTCACACAGAAATAGAAATTATGGGTTCAACAAAATGTTTCTTTGTTATTTAAACCCCAGGTTTTTAAAGGGGCCCCTGTGGACTTTTAGAAGTCGCTATACATACACTCTAAAAAATTCTGGGTTAAATACAACCCAGTGCTCGGTAAAATAGGGACAAACCCAGCAATCGGCTGTTTTGACCCAGAGGCTGCTTTAGAGTGTATGCCTCCATCCTATCTTCAAGATCTTCCAGTAAGGTATGAAGTGTGCAGGCTGGTGATGACGACACATGACAAGCACAACTGAGTTTAGAATTCACTAAAAATTAGGTTATGACAAGATAAGGCTGAATCTGTATAAGGGTCCGAAAAAAGACACTGAAACATCCAAGAATGACACATATGTGACGAACAGCTGAAAAGTATCACATGAGGCCTCTAAGAAACTATGCAACACAAATGTTGCCATTAATGTATTCAGCCTCTGATAAAACCAAACAGACACATTACAGATGTAAACAACTGAAGGAGGCCAAACATGAACGCATCACAATGACTGCTGATGAGAGGCTGAATTATGCACTGCAGCTGCAGAAACCATAGACGTGACAACAAACGGCTGACATTAGCGTTTGAACCTTTAAAATAACCAAAGCATCCTTCTACATTGCGCCTTTGCAGAGCTCGTGTGAATAAGGAGAGAGTCAGTCGCGATGCGGCACTAAACACAGCGCTAAACCAGCTTTACTTACTGTAGTCCAGATCATCCATTTTGGGGGCTTTGCTTTTAGGCATATATGTGTCGGAATCGAATGTCATTCAATAACCGAGAGATAAGGATATATAAAAATATACCCCACAAACGAAAAGGAAATAAATAAATAACTAGGCGGAGGACCGAAAGGACTCAGACAAAGGAGGAGTCGCGAGCGGAAGCTGCGCCTCAGTAAAGCTCACGATCCGGAACGGCGGCCATCTTGGTAAGGGCTTCGAGCTTCTGTTGAGTTCGGGGCAGTTTTTAAATATTATGTAATAATGTGATTTCTTATATAGGCTACTAGTACTTACTCAGTACGCAGTACAGCGGAGAATTTATAGTTTTCCCTTTAACGTTTGTAACTCAGAGACGATGCTGTTACAACCAGCTAAGAGTAGGGGTGTGCGATATTGACAAAAAATTATATCTCGATATTTTATGGGATTTTATCGATAACTATAATTAGATGATATTTTGTTGAGTGTGTTATTGTGCTGGTACCAAAGACTGCCGAAGACGCTGACTCCTAATGTTTTTAATATTCTTCATATTCTGTGTGGTGGTCAGTTCATACTGATATAAATTCATCTTTTCCAATAAGTTTAAACTGATTTTTGCATTTTATGGGCATTTTTACCTTTATAAAGCCATTTTTTCTAAAAGTGTCCATTATCTTTTGAGTCAAATTCTTACGTTTAATCAGGGAATTAGAATAATAAGACATTTGGGCTGTTACCGAGCAAATTAAATCAACACAGAAGCTGCATCTGAAGTCACATTTAGATGCATTTACACACATGTATTTTGTTTAATGCATGACATGAATGCATTTAACCTGCAATTACAAATGCATAAATAATATTTTGATATATTAAACATAAAACGTCGAATACTGATATTTGAAATGATTTAAAACATGAAAAAAAATCACAAAAAAAAGAAAAGAAAAGAAAGAAAAAGCCGAAATGTGAAATTAGAACCGCCAGTAGGTGGCAGCAAATCACTGTTAATAAGTGAGTCACTGCGATTGAACCGAATCATTTAAACGCTTGATTCATTCAGGAACGAAATTCATGTTGCTCAGAGACACAAAACAACATTGTGGCTGTATTCGGAATGATTTTTGTTGGCGAAATAGAGCAAAAACAAGCAATATGGTGTCTAAAACGTAAGTCTCTTAATTAACTTATTGTTTATTGAATTCAATGTCACATTTGTAATCATGGTAATTTTTGGAGAAAAACGGCACTCTTCCTGTGAAATATATGAAGTGGTATAAATATATAAATTTTCTGCCGTCATGTCTTGAATTTGTGATCATTCTAAATGCATTTTAATAGACTGAATCATGCAGTGAAAGAACACACACTAAATGCGCACACGCACTAGTCTAGACTTCACGTAATGTATGCATGCGCTCTGTAGGGATGTTTTGAATGGTTTTTGCTAAATACTCGATAATGTCAAATCGCACATCGTTAAAACAACAATTACGATATTATCTCAGACGATATATATCGCACACCCCTAGCTAAGTGTAACGGGGCTGACGAGACGTGAGACGTGTGGATCCATCTGCAAGCTTTTATTAAAGAGACGTGGTATAACAGGCAGGGTCGAACAATGGCAAACAGGTATATGGCGGGCAAAAACACAAGAATAGTCCCAGGGCTAGCGTAGGTCACCGATCGGCAGACAGAATCACAGGGGCGAGACGAGAGGGAGAAATCCAGGAAAACAGGCAAAGATCAGAAACCGCAAAAACAGGCAAGGCAAGGCAAAACAAGGAAAACACGGAGACTCGGAAAGGGGTACAGACTAAACAATACTCAGCTGAGAAAGGTGGTTAGAGTGGGTGTTATATAGTGAGTGAGGTGATTAAAAACAGCTGTGTGCAATGAGTGCAATCAGTGCAGTGTGCAAATCGAGCAAAGAATGATGGGATATGTAGTCCAGGGTGCTATGCAACAGTTTGTGTTGTGCGAGAGTCAATGTAATGGAAAGGGTGACCTCTGGTGGTGAATAAACGGAAGTCCATGGACCGAATTCATGACACTAAGGGTAGTGGACATCTATTTAAATTTGAACATTAATTTATTTTGTAAATCAAATAATACCCACCCCCATCAACCCCTTCCCCAAGTCCACCACATTTCAAGGTCTTTGATTCAAAAAGATACAAAATAGTAAACATTCTCTGGCCTCCCCTATTTATACTAGTAGGCCTGCTTATTTAGTTTGTAGCACTTGTAATTATTCCATATGTATAGGCATCCCTGTTGAAAAAAACAGCATATGCTGGTTAGGTATGTTTTGAAGCTGGGATGCTGGTTTATGCTGGTCCTTTGCTGGTTTATGCTGGTCATGTGCTGGTCTTAAGCTGGTCGGACCAGTTTAGGACCAGCACATGACCAGCATAAACCAGCAAAGGACCAGCATAAACCAGCAAAGGACCAGCTTAAACCAGCTCAAACCAGCATCCCAGCTTCAAAACATACCTAACCAGCATATGCTGTTTTTTTCAAAAGTATAATAACAAAAAAGTATTAAACCAAATGTTCTCATTATACATAACAACTTATGCGTGCTGAAATAGTAGTATGAAAGAATACAAACTGTCCTAAAATAAGTTTATACAAGGTATAATTAGGTAGCTAGCCTACCTATAATTATAACATTTTGTGGGTGGATTATTTAGACAGCTGATTTGTGTCTGTTTGTGTTTTACTTAATGCACATGAACCAGAGGAAGAAGAAGAAGATTCAGGCTTTCTATCTCATTTTAACACCTTAGGGAGCTTTTGGGTCACTATCGCCATTGGCTAGCTCACTTGGGTTTTTAGCCTTTCTAAAGCTAATTTCTGAAAATATGTAGAGTAAAAAGAGCTATATCAAGAGTCTGATGACTTATGGAAATGGAAATTCTGTCACATTTGCTGATATGCTGTATAAAGGGATATATAATAGACATATTTATACAGCACTTTAAATAATTTAATGCACGCCCATCAGAGTTTCCCATTCTGACCACCTTTATGATGGGGTTCTATGAGTTCATGTGATAGACTTATAGTCAACTAGATGCTCAAAGAAATCACTACAACACAACTTTATTCTTAGAGAACAAATATTTATGTATTTATTGTTTACCAAACTTAATAAAGTCTTGAGAAAAAGAAAAAAAGAACAGGAATAGGATTGGCAAGACCTTATATAAAATCATACATATTTTCCAATTCTTTTAAAAAACATGACCTCAGGCTTTAGCAACAGTTCAATATGATAACAAAAACACTACATATCAAATATAATAACATTGAAATATAACAAAAATGTCATAACTGACAAGTTACACTGTAACTATAAGGCAGTGCCAGATATTACAGAAGATTATGAAGCTTGTTTTGTCATGATGTAACTAACAGTACTATGAACTATATGATAATATGACAACCAAATGGAAAAACAGTTGTTGGAACAATACAGTAGCTGAGATTTGGGTTCTATGTAAATGTGGGGAAAAAAAGGTTATAATGGAAAAATGTGTGTGGTCTTACATCTGTGTATTATTCAGCCTTGTTCACTAACATATTAGTGTTTTACTCTGAATAATAATTGCTTTTATTTAGGGCACTTGGTATTACAGGGATCTCCTGACTGGAAAAGTCTATAAACACTAACCAAAGGGAACATAGACAGGGCACCTAACATAGAGCCCAGCTGCACCACAGCTCCACACCACACGAGGGCGCTGTGGCCTTCATCTCGCAGGATCACTCCAATAATCACCTTCACATAGGACAAAGTCAGGACAAATATGACCCAGGTTATGACCTAAAGATAAAGCGAGAAAGAGAAAACGGAGATTATGTGAGTTTTTTTGCCCTCACAAACATTTTTTAAAAAAACATTTTGAAAAGCATTTTAAAGATCTAAAGAAACTTTTTCCACTATAAAGAACTTTTTGTGCAGTGTAAACATTCCATGGAACGTTAACGGTTCTTCATGGAACCACTTACGACAAAAAAATAACCTTAAATATTAAGAATGTAAATTCTAGTGCCAGTAAATTTACTTTACGTATCCTTGTAAAATATTGAACAACTAAGACCAATGGAAAGCATGTGTGTGAGTCTTACGATGAGTGCTGCTCCTAGGTCATGATTGATCAGCAGAGGGCAAGGGCTTATTGCTGCCATGGCCATTATATATGCTCCAAACCCTGTGCCGGTCACTGTCAGAACCCCCATCAGCACCAGAGACCTTCGGCATGATTAAAGAAAGCATGTCAGCCAATCAAATGCAATTCAGACATGGAATAGTTGCATGAATTTAGCGCATCATTGTTCTCACCTTATTGGCACAAACATGGCAATGAAGCAAGCCACTGGATTGGCTACTGAAGACAAAGTGGCTGCAAGATGATAGGCCTGATTTCCATACGGCAAACAGGAGTAAGCCTGGACCGAGGGCAGGACTGCATTGGTCAGTGCATTTACCCAGGCCAGAACTATAAATATGAAGACCAGCTCCATTGTGCTGTAGGTTCCTTTTCCAAATGAACTGTGTTGCTTTCTCACCAGACCTTCTGGGAAATCCAACATGGGCCTTTGTTCTGGAGTTTCATTATTTGGGGCCTGGCTCATATCAATCTTCTCCACCCGCTGAGAATCATCAATATAACCTTTGCGCTTGTGTTCCCGTGCCACAGCTGGGTGGAAGTTGAGTAACAAGAAAGCGCCCATGCACACCATCATCATCGCACTGAGGAACAGGAAGAAACCCTGAGCGGAGAAGTTTGCCGGCTGGTAGTGTGCCTGCAGTTCTCCATCGAAGTCCCAGGATGAGTTCCCCATGCTAAAGTTTGCATTAACACTGGCATTTTTGCAGTGGACCACCCCTACGCCTTGGATAAGAGCCACCAGCGCTGGGACCAGGCCGCTTAGACCCTCTCCAATGAAGTAGGTGGTGAGGTACCAAGGCTGTAGACGCATCATGAAGGGTAGAAATGTGACGGACGAGGTGCAGTCGACCACAGACAGCAGGAAGCTGAGGGACAGTAGGGCAGCACTGTGTTTGCCTCCTCCAAAAGTTAGTGTGCGGTTCCAGAGGAACGCCAGGAGGAAGGTGGCCACCACACCGACCGTTACGATCGTGTAGATAACAGGCCGCTCGTCCAGCATGCCCGGTCTGAAGCGGTGCATGAGCGTGATGAAGAGAGGCCCGATGTTGGCCATCTGGATAATGATTGTGAGGTAGGAGGGCAGGTACCAACCCTCAGGAATGGAGGGGACGATCAGAGGTAGCTCCACCCACATCCCGTTAATGGCCACCCATGATCCGATGCCAAAGAGGCAGGCCAACACGTGTGTGAACAGCGACATGATGAAGGCACTGAGGT